CCCATACACCCCCCCCCCACACACATACACACAGAGGAATCACACCCTTTCCAATACCCGGGCTCAAACAAAACTAGTGAAAAGTTATTACTGCTATTGCAAGAGAGCAATGACTTTGCCTGAGAGGGCCAGCACGTTCAACATCCCAGCAGACAGACTGGGATACTAAATAAAACGTCTCCCAACACGAGAATCAAACTCAAGGTTTCTACGAGCGACGGCGAAGCGCTTAACTGAATGAAAATTTTTCTCCCCACTCAGAAATCGAAATCGGGTTGTGAGTGGTTGGCGGGTGCTCCGGTGTGGTTTTCTTCTTTTTTCCTATCAAACATCTATCGTCTTCATCTCCCCTCCTTCTTTTTTATGTTTGTTATTCTCTTGTAACAGCTCCAATCTTCGGCACTTATATGACCTTATTGTGCTGAAAGTGCCGTAAAACTCTTACTAAAAGTAAAGAAATCGGGTCTCCAGTGTGCGGCAGCGAAGCGCCAAAAAACCGGGAGCCCATAGCAGATATGATCCTGTCGGGTTGGATCGGGTCGATCGCCCAACTTGTCGCCTGAAAACAAAGGCGTTTTTTATTTTTATTATTTTTTTTTTTGAGGCGACAATTCGGGCAGTGGTTTTGTGCCACGGTAGCCGCTTTGCGCCCTCAATCTGGTAAGCAAACCGATCCGACGGGACCCGATCGTGCCAATGGCGCGTGGGACACTTTAAACATTTTCAGTTTTGGTAGGAATTGATTTTGAATTTGCCCGAGTGGCGGCCGAAGCCAACTCTTATCGATTTAGGACCACTAACGTGCGCAACTTTCACACGATATCTCCGAAATTTTTCGCCCTTATCAACACAGTGCATCACTTACAATAGCAATAGTATATAATATACAATAATTTACTGCTTACAATAATATATAACTTACATGCCTCCATAAAATAATTCTTGGGCGAATGTCGTGCGTCCTTGACTTCTGCGACGAACAACTCAAAATCTGTTAAATTTCCCTGATATAACAGTGCATTGGCGCGGTGAGTACCATTGAAAAACCTGTGGAGGGGTTAAAAACAAACAGGTAACACTGGACAATGTAGTGGAGGGGTCAAGGACAAACATGTAACACTGGACAATGTAGTGGAGGGGTCAAGGACAAACAGGTAACACTGGACAATGTAGTGGAGGGGTCAAGGACAAACAGGTAACACTGGACAATGTAGTGGAGGGGTCAAGGACAAACAGGTAACACTGTGAAACGAAACAAATTGTTTATTTATGAGAGCACGTTAAAATTTATAGGCTTGACCAAAACTTTATTTAATGTAGAAAAAGGAAGACGATATCAAATATAAAGAAGTAACTTAGAACAAGTGTTCAGTGGTAGAAGTAACAAGATTGATTTGAAATTGTTGGTCAAGATTCAACAGTTCACTAGTTGTTTTCACGTTCTTTCAACGTCAATTTTTATTCAAATTGATTGCTGAAAAAACCAAACTGGTTTAGTAATCGAAGCGGCAGTTTCCAAGAAGAGCATTGTAAAACTGTCATGCAAAAAAACAAACTTCCTATGGTTTTGTTTGCTTTAGTAGAGGTTCTACCTATGGTCTGCTAACGGAAAAACGAAAAGTGACTATCATTAAAATTCAAACAAGAATGTGTTTTTAAATGGACATAAAATATGTAATTAAAAAAAAAAGTCAATAAGGATTGTCCAACTGCGAGAAAAATGGTCGTATCTTTGATTTGACGGAAATTGATGAGCGCCTGATTTCACAGTGATGCTTCACATATAAGTGATTTGTTGGACAGGTTATTGACTTGGAAAAGTGCACGTAAGCTCAGGTTCATGCTTACTCCAAAGTTGATTTGATAGGTACAGCGTAACTTTAGCTTCCGCCTTATATACCTGACGGTATAGGGAGAGAGTAAGTTAAAAATGTAAGTAACTTCAGCTACATAATGGTTAAGATGGCCCTATAGAGGGGACAATTCGTTTACTTACAAGTCTGCCTCTGAGACTTTGTACTCGGTAAAAAACCTGAGGACGTAGGAAGAGAGATACATAGAGAGGACGGCAAAGTCCATAGCGTTGTAATAGTCCATGATGTAGGAGCGAGCACCCGAGCTGTAGATCTGTTTACACTCGATCCACAGTAAACCTGGAGATGAAAGGAGGAGGAGTTTGAAAAAAACCCAACAACTGTTGCTTTAATTTCAGTAAGCAACAAAAAGGTGGTGGTTTCTTATAGATCTAGTGGAAGAAAGATAAGGGTAGACCCTAAAAAAAATTGCAACAAAAATGAAACGTATATGGTTCGGCAGATAAAATTGCGAGTAATAACGTATAAAAAATTATTAGGAGACTGCTGACAAAATCTAGGAAAGGAATGGAAATCAAATAAGATAGTACTTGATGAAGCCCACGTGGGACGCTCACTGATAAAAACGATCACGAAAAGACAAGTGCAGTTTGAGGGACTCCGGAATAGACATACATTTTTAATGTCTTGAACATCTAGCTCCCACAGGCAAAATTGAAGACAAACGAGGCAGGGGTACGCCCAGAGAAACCTACTTAGAGAACCTAAATAGATGGGTAACGGGGGAACGATCAGGGTAAAGCAGCTTTTTTTTAGAGCATCCGAACAAATGAACGAATGGAGAACAATGATTGTCGATGTCTGCCGCAGATCCTGCACTTGATCATGATGAAAGGTTTCACAGCACTTTCGACACAATTAGGCCTTAGAAATGCCGAAAATTTGAGGTGTTATAAACGAGTAACAAACACAAGAAAGAAGGAGAGGTAAGGACGACACATGTGTGGTGAGAAAGAAGGAGCAAGGCACACCAGAGCATCCGCTAACTAACCACGGAAAGGACTATAAGAAGACTGTCAATTACACTAGGGTTCGTATTACATAAATTGGAGTTTTATTTCATGGAAGTAACAGTGGAACAAGGGAGTTTAAGAAAAGGAATAGCTGGTATTACAGACTGATGAAAGACAGAACAACAAAAATGGATCTAACGGAAATTACGGGGGGAAAAGAAATGAGGAACAGATTAAGAAACGTCTGGATGAAGGAACAAGAGAAAGGGGAAGAGGGACGGGGAGACATCGAAAGAGAAAGGGAAAGATAGATAGACATACAGAAATAGAGAGGGAGAGAGAGAGACACACAGAGAGAGAGAGAAAGAAAGATAGATAGATAGATAGATAGATAGAGAGAGAGAGAGGGAGAGAGAGAGAGA